CGGGTAGTCTGCGCGCGTGCACCAGCACGAGGGAGGGGAGTCCAATCCCTCCCCTGCGTACGATCATTACCATCACCCAGGGGGGGGAGGGGGCGGTTGGCCTGGGTAACGACCGTTACGAGTCAGAGGATAATAGAAAGCAGTATCTAATGTGTGTGCGGCGGACAGGAACACCTTGTGGCCAATGATGATATCAGGGGTGGGGAGCGTCTTCCAGTTGGAGCTGCAATTAACACCAACAGTTGAACCACACGCACAACAACCACTACACACGTTGGTTCGATTCACATTTCGTCACTATCCGATTCCTTGTCATCGATGTGTGCGTGGATTGTTGGTCCGCACTTGTTCCGCGTTGCAAGGAGAGAGCGGGAGAGCAATACGCATCTGATTCACTCGAATCATTCTAATTCCCATCGCCATCATCCATGTCAACCGGATCGCCACCACCAATTCGTTCACACACGTGAGGCATAAAGGCCACCGCGACACCACGTTACACTGTCAAACCGTGCTGCGTCATAAGACACAGCACGGCGCCATACCAAACTGCGACACCACAAACGACATTACACATCACATGTTGCTTCTCATTGGATATATGGCTGGTTCGCAATGGTCTCAAGCTTGTTTCACTTGTGATGTCAGCATGCTAACGACATTCAGTGCACACTCGTCGTACTTGACTGACATCTGTGTCACACGTTGTTTGATTTAATACTGCCTGGAATATCCCGCAGTTGCTCAAACAAGACACCACACAGCATTACGACACAGCACGTGATGACCATCGCAATCATCAACGTCGTAATCATCGACACTTAATCATCACGAGCCGCATCGTCATCCTCATTCGATTCCTAGAGGCTTCACAACAGTGCCACGTGACAACGCGACAATGCACGACACCACATCGCACTCCGCGATATGGCAGTTTCGCGACACCACGGCATCAGGAATCACGACCATGATTCACATCTGATCCATGTGTGATGTCGACACTCGACTCCCATTGGCTATGCGTGCGACTTGCTGGTGTAAGTACCATTCGGCTGACAGTGCGCTCCACAACACAACACCATTGCACGCCATCGTACGACAACGCCCCACGACACTGACTCACCGCCCCAACGCTCAGCACAGGAACTGTAGCAAGACGACTTGATCATTACGAGCCTTAATTTGGGACGGACGCTACGCGCGACACGAAACAGGATTTCTGAAAAAAGGTCACCGTACACACATGTTCACACCAACCCCCAACAACTGAGCACGTGAGGGAGGACTCTCGGCGCGCAACATTTGATACCCGCCACCATGCCGCGAGGCATGAGTTGAATTGGAGTGTCCTCAAGTCCTTTGCGCCCTCCGTCCTCAGCTCAAAGAATTTCAGGGCCCGAACCCAACATTCACAGATTTCTTCGGGCGTGTCGCGTACCTCCTGGGGCTTCCCGCGTGTCTGTTCTTGCGTGACTTTTCTGGAGGCAAGCGGGGGCCAGGAGGGTCCCCAGATGCATCGAAGACGGTCCAAGAAGAGCCCCGAGATGGCCCAAGAGATCTCCAAGACGCCGAAGATGGCCCCAAGACGGCCCATGAGGCTCGCAAGATGCCCCAAGAGTGCCCCACGTGAAGCGGAGTCCCAAAGGCAACTATCACTGATTTCCCGAGGTTTGTTTGAGGATTTTAACGTTGTCTCCATTTCGAGCTTCTGACGCTTCAAGGCAGCTCAAGGGACTTGCAATATCGCCGCGAAACTGCCCAGGAGGCCCCCGAGAGGGCCTCCATACGGCCCAGAGCCCCAAGAAGACCCCCGAGACCGCCGGCAGGCCCCCAAGAGGCCCCCCAGAAGCCCCAGGAGGCCACCGAGAGGCAGCTCAGGCCCCAAGACGCTAACAGGAGGCCCGCGAGAGGCCCAAAGCACCCCGAGAACCGCCCCCAAGAGGGTTCGTTCCCAGAGGCCTCCCAAGAGGATCCCCACCACGCATCGAAGAAACATCTGACCTGCAATCCAGGCGCGGTGGCGGAATTGGCCGGAAGCCACTCGATCCGCCGCCCCCCTGCTGGCTTGCCACAGGGGTGCCCGGCGTGCGGGATCCTGCGGCCTCTGGTCAGGGTTCTTTTCCAGGAGGAGCGCTCCCCCGGGGGCTTCGGCCCAGCGCCCCGACCCCGCGGAAGGCCCGGAAACTGCCTCAACGTCTGGAACAAATCCTCCCCGCCCTCCTCCTCCCCCTCCTCCTCCTCCTCCTCCTCCTCCTCCTCCTCCTTCTCCTCATCCTCCTCCTCCATCCTTCTCCACCCTCCTCCTCCTCCTCCTCATCCTCCTCCTCGTCCTCCTCCATCCTCCTCCATCAGTTTGGCCTCCAGGATGATCCAAGATGGCCCAAGTTGCCTCCAAGTCCGCCGAAGAAGCCACCACGACGGCTCAAGAGGTCTCCCGAGAGGCATCCAAGATGGCCCAAGAGTCTCCGAAGACGCGCCCAAGATGTCCTCCAGGAGGTCCCGAAGAGGCCAAAATCACTGGTTTGCCAGAAAGGTGTTTGAACGATTTTGGCATTTGCTGTTTTTTCCCTTCCGACAGCCCAGGACGGCCCCCAAGATGGCCCCAGAACGGCCCAAGAGGTCCCCGAGACGGCCCCAAGAGGGCCCCAAGACGGCCTAGGAGGCCTCCAAGACGCCCGAGATGGCCTCCAAGACGGCCCTGGATCACCTCAAGAGGGCCGAAATCGGCCCAGAGATGCACCCAAAACGGCTCCCGACGGCGTCAGACGGGCCAGGAGCCCACTAAGACAGCCCAAGATGTCTCCTAGAGGCCTCCAAGAGGGCTCCAAGATGGCCTCCAGGAAGGCACGACGAGGCCAAAATTATGGATTTTCCTTAGGTTTTTGAAGGGCTGTCACAGGTGCTTCTTTTCGGCCTTCCGATGGCCCGAGACGGCCTAAGAGCCCCCAAAGATCGCCCCAAGATTTCCAAAAAGCTTCTAAAATGGCCCCAGAACTGCCGAAGAGGCTCCCAAAACGGCCCCGCCTCCAAGACGGTCCTGGAGCACCCCAACACAGCCCCAAGTCGGCCCAGAGATGCCCGGCTTCCGACGGCCCAAGATGGCTCGAAGGTGGCCCTAGACGGCCCAAATGGCCCCCAGGAGGTCCCCAAGACGGCCCAATAGGCCTAGAAGGCCTCCAGGAAGGCCTCAAGGAAGGCCCGACGAGGCCCAAATCATTGATTTTCCAGAAAGGTGTTTGAAGGATTTTGGCATTTGCTTCTTTTCGGCCTTCCGACGGCCTGAGATGCCCCAAATATCGCCCCAAGACCCCAAGATCGCCCAAAAGACCTCCAATATGGCCCCAGGACGGCCCAAGAAGCCCCCAAGACGGTCCCAAGAGGGCCCCTCCGACAGCCCGAGACGGCCCAAGAGGCCCCAAAGATGGACCCAGAACGGCCCACGATGCCCTCAAGACGGCCCCAAGAGGGCCCCAAGACCCAAGACGGCCCAAGAGGCCTCCAAGACGCCCAAGATGGCCTCCAACACTGCCCTGGAGCACTCCAAGAGGGCCCAAGTCGGCCCAGAGAGGCCCACAAGATGGCCAAAGAGGCCCCCGAGACCCGCCCAAAGGCCCCCCAAAGGCCCAAGGAGGCCCCCAAGACGACTCCAAGAGGCTCCCAGGAAGCTCCCAGGAGGTCCCAATAGTGCCCAGTGAGGCTCCGAAGATGCCCGCTCCTCCTTCTTCTCCTCCTCCTCCTCCTTCTCCTCCTCCTCCTCCTCCTGATCCTCCCCGCCATCCTCCCCCAAGTGTTCGCCGAAGGGTTTCCACAATGGCTGCGGGAAGACGTGGTCGGATAGCTTGGCAGAGATCTTGCCACAACGCTCGGCCACATGGGCGATTCCAAACGGCAGGGGGCGGCGGTGATTCGCCGTAGGCGTCTTTCGATCCGCCGCCCCCTGTTGATTCACCACAAAGGTGCTTGGCGTGCTTGACCCTGCTGATTTTGTTTTGGTTCTATAAAGAACTCTCCCCTGGGCCTCCAATGCGTGCCGCTGGCCTCCCGGACAATAGTGGTTGCCGTGCCTCCCCAACGGCCGTCTTGCTAGGGACATCCTCAACAAAGTCGCGATCTTGGCGTCAAGATGTCACGAGATGGCCTCCAAGACGGCCAAAGAGGGTCCAAGATGGTTCCAAGTCCGCCCAAGAAGCCACCAAGACGGCCCAATAGGCCCCGAAGATGTCTCCAAGACGGCCCAAGAGGACCCCAAGAGGGCCTCCAGGAAGTCCCGAAGAGGCCCAAATCATGGATTTTCCAGAAAGATGTTTGACTGATTTGGGCATTTGCTTTTTTTCTGCCTTTCGACGGCCCAAGAGACCCCAAAGATCGCCCCAAGATCGCCCAACAGGCCTCCAGGATGGCCCCAGACTGGCCCAAGAGGCCTCCAAGACGGCCCCAACGAGCCCCAAGATGGCCAAAGAGGCCTCCAAGACGCAAGATGGCCTCCAAGACGGCCCTGGAGCACCCCAAGAGAGCACCAATATGGCCCAGAGGGGCCCCCAAGACGGCTCCCGACGGCGTCAGACGGGCCAGGAGCCCAACAAGGCGGCCTCAGATGGCTTCAAGATGGCCCAAGAGGCCCCGAAGAGGTTCCCAAGAAGGCCCCAAAGGCCTCCAATAGAGGGCCTCCGGGAAGTCCCGACGAGGCCCAAATCATGGATTTTCCAAAACGGTGTTTGAAGGATTTGGGCATTTGCTTCTCTTCGGCCGGTCGACGGCCCGAGACGGCCCAAGAGCCCCCAAAGATTGCCCCCAAAATCGCTCCAGAGGCCTCCAGGATGGCCCCAGAACGACCCACGACCAAGAGGGCCCCAAGACGGCCCACGAGGCCTCCAAGACGGCCCGAGATGGCCTCCAAGACGGCCCCGGAGCACCCCAAGAGGGCTCCAAGTCGGCTCAGAGAGGCACCCCAAACGGCTTCCGCAGCGTCAGACGTGCCGGAGCCCTAAGACTGCCCAAGAGGCCTCCGAAAAGCACCCAAAGGCCCCCAAGAGGCCCACGGAGGCCCCCAAGATGCCTCCAAGAGGCTCCCAGGAAGCTCCTAGGAGGCCCCAAGAGTGCCCCCAGACGCTCCCCGAATGCCCGCTCCCCCTCTTTCTCCTCTTTCTCCTCTTTCTCCTCTTTCTCCTCTTTCTCCTCCTCCTCCTCCTCCTCCTCCTCCTCCTCCTCCTCCTCCTCCTCCTCCTCCTCCTCCTCCCCCTGATCTTCCCAGCCACCCTCCCCCAAGTGTTCACCGAAAGGTTTCCACAACGGTCTGGATAACACATGGTCCGATAGCTTGGCAGAGCTCTTGCCGCAACGCTCGGCCACACGGGCGATTTCAACAGGCAAGGGGCGGAGGTGATTCGCCGTAGACGTCTTCGATCCGCCGCCCCCTGTGGCTTGCCAGGGATACGCGGCTTGCCAGATTCTATGTCGTTGTTGGCCATTTTGGGAAACAGATTCCCAATGGGCCGTCGGCTGGTCTCGCCAGACGCCCAAACGTGCGCATTAAAGGTCTATCCCGTTGGCCCTCCACCCAGAAAGACCCATAAACTTCCCAGGTCGTCGGTCTTCACGCTCCAGACTGCTCAAGATGGCCTCCAAGACGGCCAAGATGGTCTCCAAGACTGCTACGATTGCCTCGAGAGCCCCAGATGGCCCCAAGATGTCTCCAATAGTGGCCGAGATGCCCCCAATGTGGTCCAAGTTTGCCTAAGACGGCCCCAGAGGCCTCCGAGACGGCCCAAGGAGCCAAACACCTCCAACAGGGCCCTAACGCGCCCAAAGACGGCGCCACGACGGCCCAGAGGGACCCCAAGACGGAGGCTAGCACGCCGCTAAAAGGCTTCTTTTTCCTTCTCCTCCGCTTCTCCTCCCTCCTCTCCTCCTCCTCCTCCTCCTCCTCCTCCTCCTCCTCGTCGTCCTCCTCCTCCTCCTCCTCCTCCTCCTCCTCCTCCTTCTCCTCCTCCTCCTCCTCCTCCTCCTCCTCCTCCCTCTTCCTCCCACAGGTGTTCCCCGAAGGGTTTCCACGACGGCTGGGGGAACACTTCGCCCAATAGCTTGGCAAGACTTCGGCCCAACGTTTGGTCACATAGGCGTTCGAAAGGAGGTATGGTCGGAGGTGGTTCGCCAAAGGCGTCTTCGATAAACACGAAGGGAACAGCCTGGTGTCCTCACACCAGGACTGGCTAGCCCACGCAAACTATTTCAGTCAGATGGGGTCGAACTCCCCCTCCCCTGTTCCTCACACCACGACGGTGAACTGCGCCTGCGGGCACTTGGCCACCGCCGCGTCCCAGACGGCCTCGACGTCCGTCTTGCAGTCGGGGTTGAACTTGATGTTGGGGAACTTCTCCGTGATCACCTGGCAGATCTCGTCAACGGCCTTGTCCTCGACCTGCTTCTGCGACGCGAGCTCGCAAATCATCTTCTCGATGTCCGCCGGGCTCGGCAGCGTCAGCTGAGCCTGCGGGCACTTGGCCACCGCCGCGTCCCAGACGGCCTCGACGTCCGTCTTGCAGTCGGGGTTGAACTTGATATTGGGGAACTTCTCCGTGATCACCTGGCAGCTCTCGTCAACGGCCTTATCCTCGACCTGCTTCTGCGACGCGAGCTCGCAGATCATCTTCTCGATGTCCGCCGGGCTCGGCAGCGTCAGCTGCGCCAGCGGGCACTTGGCCACCGCCGCGTCCCAGACGGCCTCGACGTCGTCTTGCAGTCGGGGTTGAACTTGATGTTGGGGAACTTCTCCGTGATCACCTGGCAGATCTCGTCAACGGCCTTGTCCTCAACCTGCTTCTGCGACGCGAGCTCGCAGATCATCTTCTCGATGTCCGCCGGGCTCGGCAGCGTCAGCTGCGCCTGCGGGCACTTGGCCACCGCCGCGTCCCAGACGGCCTCGACGTCTGTCTTGCAGTCGGGGTTGAACTTGATGTTGGGGAACTTCTCCGTGATCACCTGGCAGATCTCGTCAACGGCCTTGTCCTCGACCTGCTTCTGCGACGCGACCTCGCAGATGAGCTTCTCGATGTCCGCCGGGCTCGGCAGCGTCAGCTGCGCCTGCGGGCACTTGGCCACCGCCGCGTCCCAGACGGCCTCGACGTCTGTCTTGCAGTCGGGGTTGAACTTGATGTTGGGGAACTTCTCCGTGATCACCTGGCAGATCTCGTCAACGGCCTTGTCCTCGACCTGCTTCTGCGACGCGAGCTTCGCAGATGAGCTTCTCGATGTCCGCCGGGCTCGGCAGCGTCAGCTGCGCCTGCGGGCACTTGGCCACCGCCGCGTCCCAGACGGCCTCGACGTCGTCTTGCAGTCGGGGTTGAACTTGATGTTGGGGAACTTCTCCGTGATCACCTGGCAGATCTCGTCAACGGCCTTGTCCTCGACTGCGACGCGAGCTCGCAGATGAGCTTCTCGATGTCCGCCGGGCTCGGCAGCGTCAGCTGCGCCTGCGGGCACTTGGCCACCGCCGCGTCCCAGACGGCCTCGACGTCGTCTTGCAGTCGGGGTTGAACTTGATGTTGGGGAACTTCTCCGTGATCACCTGGCAGATCTCGTCAACGGCCTTGTCCTCGACCTGCTTCTGCGACGCGACCTCGCAGATGAGCTTCTCGATGTCCGATGGGCTCGGCAGCGTCAGCTGCGCCTGCGGGCACTTGGCCACCGCCGCGTCCCAGACGGCCTCGACGTCCGTCTTGCAATCGGGGTTGAACTTGATGTTGGGGAACTTCTCCGTGATCACCTGGCAGATCTCGTCAACGGCCTTGTCCTCGACCTGCTTCTGCGACGCGAGCTCGCAGATGATCTTCTCGATGTCCGCCGGGCTCGGCAGCGTCAGCTGCGCCTGCGGGCACTTGGCCACCGCCGCGTCCCAGACGGCCTCGACGTCTGTCTTGCAGTCGGGGTTGAACTTGATGTTGGGGAACTTCTCCGTGATCACCTGGCAGATCTCGTCAACGGCCTTGTCCTCGACCTGCTTCTGCGACGCGACCTCGCAGATGATCTTCTCGATGTCCGCCGGGCTCGGCAGCGTCAGCTGCGCCTGCGGGCACTTGGCCACCGCCGCGTCCCAGACGGCCTCGACGTCCGTCTTGCAGTCGGGGTTGAACTTGATGTTGGGGAACTTCTCCGTGATCACCTGGCAGATCTCGTCAACGGCCTTGTCCTCGACCTGCTTCTGCGACGCGACCTCGCAGATGAGCTTCTCGATGTCCGCCGGGCTCGGCAGCGTCAGCTGCGCCTGCGGGCACTTGGCCACCGCCGCGTCCCAGACGGCCTCGACGTCTGTCTTGCAGTCGGGGTTGAACTTGATGTTGGGGAACTTCTCCGTGATCACCTGGCAGATCTCGTCAACGGCCTTGTCCTCGACCTGCTTCTGCGACGCGACCGCAGATGAGCTTCTCGATGTCCGCCGGGCTCGGCAGCGTCAGCTGCGCCTGCGGGCACTTGGCCACCGCCGCGTCCCAGACGGCCTCGACGTCCGTCTTGCAGTCGGGGTTGAACTTGATGTTGGGGAACTTCTCCGTGATCACCTGGCAGATCTCGTCAACGGCCTTGTCCTCGACCTGCTTCTGCGACGCGAGCTCGCAGATGAGCTTCTCGATGTCCGCCGGGCTCGGCAGCGTCAGCTGCGCCTGCGGGCACTTGGCCACCGCCGCGTCCCAGACGGCCTCGACGTCCGTCTTGCAGTCGGGGTTGAACTTGATGTTGGGGAACTTCTCCGTGATCACCTGGCAGATCTCGTCAACGGCCTTGTCCTCGACCTGCTTCTGCGACGCGAGCTCGCAGCTTCTCGATGTCCGCCGGGCTCGGCAGCGTCAGCTGCGCCTGCGGGCACTTGGCCACCGCCGCGTCCCAGACGGCCTCGACGTCGTCTTGCAGTCGGGGTTGAACTTGATGTTGGGGAACTTCTCCGTGATCACCTGGCAGATCTCGTCAACGGCCTTGTCCTCGACCTGCTTCTGCGACGCGAGCTCGCAGATCATCTTCTCGATGTCCGCCGGGCTGGGCAGCGTCAGCTGCGCCTGCGGGCACTTGGCCACCGCCGCGTCCCAGACGGCCTCGACGTCCGTCTTGCAGTCGGGGTTAAACTTGATGTTGGGGAACTTCTCCGTGATCACCTGGCAGATCTCGTCAACGGCCTTGTCCTCGACCTGCTTCTGCGACGCGACCTCGCAAATGAGCTTCTCGATGTCCGCTGGGCTCGGCAGCGTCAGCTGCGCCTGCGGGCACTTGGCCACCGCCGCGTCCCAGACGGCCTCGACGTCCGTCTTGCAGTCGGGGTTGAACTTGATGTTGGGGAACTTCTCCGTGATCACCTGGCAGATCTCGGCAACGGCCCTGTCCTCGACCTGCTTCTGCGACGCGACCTCGCAGATGAGCTTCTCGATGTCCGCCGGGCTCGGCAGCGTCACCTGCGGCTTCGGAATCCAAGGCGGAGAAGGAGGAACGGTGGGAGGAGGACGGGAATGAGACGAGGAGGAGGAGAAGGAGGAGGAGGAGGAGGAGGAGGAGGAGGAGGAGGAGGAGGGGCAGGAGGAGGAGGAGGAGGACGAGGACGAGGAGGACGAGGGGGATCAGGAGAAGGGGCGCAGGATGATGACGAGGGTGCGGATGGCGAAGAAGGGGGCAGGAGGTGGATCAGGAGAACGTGGGGGCATACCGACTATGATGATGATGACGATCATAATGATGATGACGATGATGGTGGCGATACTGCTGATGATGATGATGATGATGATGATGATGATGATGACGATGATGATGATGATGGTGGCGATACTGCTGATGATGATGACTATGACAGTGACGATGGCGATGGTGGTGATGGTGGTAATGATGCTGCTGCTGCTGCTGCTGATGATGATGATGATGATGATGATGATGATGATGATGATGAAACAGCTGGTGCTGATGCTGCTGCTGCTGATGCTGCTGCTGCTGATGATGCTGATTATGGATGCTGGTGAGTGCACCGGCCCGGCGCCTGGGCAAGGCTGACTCCTGCTGCCCTCTCGGCGTGCCTGGCCACCCCTGTGGGGCCCAATGGGTGATGCACAGGTTGCCTCCTCTCCTCAGGCTCTGCGGGCATAAAAGGGGCCCAGGGACCCACAAACAAATACACACAATCCCAGGATCCCCCATCTTCTCGATATTTCCTGGGTTTTCGTCCCCCCCCCACTTCCGACCTTTTTCCATACTTTCCTGGGGGTCGGCGATTCATTGTGTCTGTGTGTTCTTTCCCCTCCTGAATCCTGACCTGCGGTTGAACCTCCTGGCGGACGCTGGTGCGTGGGTCGGTACGGGAGGGGCGCACCGGGGGCGGAGCGCCACGACGGGCGGAAAAGCAGAGGGCGGCCGCGGAGGCGGGGGGAGGAAGGAGGCCCGGCCGTGGAGCCGGCGGCGGCAACTGGCAGACTGAACACGAGGTGCCCGAAGGAGGGGAGCGGCGAGGAGGGGGGAACGGCAACCACACGCCTCTGTGCCGCTACTCGGGGGGGTCTCTGCCCACTGCAGTGCCCGCAAGTGCCAACTCACACACGCCTCCTGACCAAGCACGCACTGCACCACTCACTCAGCTCCGGGAAAAACCAGAACCACTGCGCCTCAGACAGCGCCACCTCGTGCCGCCCTGAGTATCTTGCCTCTCTGAGGCCGAGGCCCCGAATCCCCGCTCGACCACACGCCCGGGGATAACGGTGCGAGTGCGCATGGGTCCCAGAGTCATCCCCGCATGCCCGGAGGCAGGTGGCACGCACCCTCGTCGCCCCCCCCCTCCCCCTCGCCGCCGTGCGGTCGGGGATAACCCCCCTCCACACCCTGGCGCGACGGGCACATGCGCCCGGCAACGACAGCGGAGGGTGCCCAGGGCAATTTTCCCTCCCCCCTGGCCTCCCCGAAAATCGGGGCGACGAACGGGCCTGCTGCCCGCCTGTTTCGCCGGGAAAGGGGCCCAGCGGCACAGGTGGCCGAAACATGATATGGCATGATGATGCTGATGCTGCTGCTGATGCTGCTGCTGCTGATGATCACGCCGAGGATGACCACGATCTGATGAAGATGCAGATGAAGATGCAGATTTTTCTGATGATGGAGATGGCGGTGCTGATGACGACGATGATGATGATGCTGATGGTGATGATGACGATGAGGATGAGGATTATGATGATGCTGCTGATGATGATTATGATGATGGCGATGACGCTGATGATGCTGTTGATGTTGATGACGATGATGCTGATGATGATGATACGTGAGATGATGAGGGGAGTGAGATGGAGGAGCAGGATGAAGATCAGGAAGAGGAGGAAGAGGAATAATAATACGAGGACGAGGAAGAGGAGGATGAGGAAGAGGAGGAGCATGAGGATGAGGATGAGGACGATGAGGAGGAAGAAGAAGAGGATCAACAACATGGAGGGAACGGAACACTGTGGATGGAAACGAGGACAATAACAGCGGAACATGATGAGAAATACATGGCGAGGGGGAGGATCTCGTTGAGTTTCCTTCTTCCCTTCTGCCCCTTCGGGGAAGGGTCTACCCCTCTCCCTTCCCCCTCCCCCTGGACCTGGACAGGGTGGGCGGGGTGGGTCGTTAGAACGTCCAAAACGACCTCGGTGAGAAGACCGACATCATTGATCTTATTAAATTTTGGCCACGTCTCCGCCTCCGGGGGGGGATCCTAACGGGAGAGCTCCCCTCCTTGGATCGATCTCCTCCAAGATGGCCCCAAGATGGCCCCAAGGGTGCCCCAAGGCAGCCCCAAGAGGTGCCCTGGAGTCCCCAAGAAGCCCCCAAGAGGTTCCCAAGAGACCCCCAAGAAGTTCCAAGAGGCCCCCCCCCCCGGAGACACCCAAGACGCCCCAAGAGGCCTCGGCGAGAAGGCCAAGATTTCGGCTACATTTTTTGGCCTCCTTGGGGAGGGGGCCTTATTTGGTACGGCCCGTCCTTTGATCGAACTCCTCCAAGATCGCCCCAAGATGGCACCCGAGGCTCCCAAGAGTGCCTCTTGACGGCCCCAAGAGCTGCCCAGGAGGTCCCAAGAGACCCGACAACGCCCTCAAGAAGCCTCCAAGAGGCCTCCAGGAGACTCCCAAGAGGTCCCAAGAAGCCCCCCCCCCCCCCCCCCCCAAAAAAGGCACCCAAGACGCACCAAGAGGCCCCCGGGACTGCCAAGAAACCTCCGAGAAGCCCCAGAAGCATGTTAAGAACCAGTCTGAAGACATCCGAAGAGACTCCGAGAGGCATCATGCATTCTTTGGCCTTTCTGATCGCCCTCCTCCTCCTCTTCTTCGTGTACCGATTCCCTCTCTTCTTCCCTCCTCCCCATCCCCCTCTCCCGCCTCCTCCTCCTCCTCCTCCTCATCCTCCTGCTCATCCAATTCCTCTTCCATCCTTCCCATTTTCGGGCATGACGTTATACCCACCCTTTGTTCCACTGCATGCTCCTCCACATCCCTGATTAGGGCAACTCGTCTGGGCATCGTTTCTGGATGGGCTGATTGAGTTACGCGAAACGTCTAGAATGGAATTCGAACTATCGGAACCGAAATGCAAATTTCCGTCAGCAGCTCGGAAATACACCGAATTCGCCTTAACGCTGGCTCCTGGCGGGCCCAAAGCAATATTCAGAATTTGGTTTAAACCCGGCTCCTGGTGAGACATCACCCCGAAATTGTCGCAATTCAATGTTCTGCCAGTGCTTCACGGATGCATGCGCGTCTGTTGCATGTGCGCGCATGACATCCACGTCGTTTAGGCTCGGGAGTTCTCGTTTTGGAAACAGCATCCACAGCAAAAAAAAAAAGCACTTACGACTTGCCTCTGCCCTCCCTTTATGAACGAAACGGAAACACATAAATATGTACAACTAACTGACTAAACCCTCCGGTGCACGCACAGTTGTTCAGGCCTGTGGCTTCTGGACAATGAACGTACATCCATATCAAGCATCACGATCCTGTACAACTCTTATGTGTCTTCATTGTCGCCATCCTCGCGGCGTTTACGTATATCTTGCATTTGAACGTTCCTCTCTACTGCGCGCTCCTCACAAATACCTTGTCAGGGGAGACGCCATGATCATTTGGCCTGTCTTGCATGAGACGCAATTCCTCTCCGTGTTCTGCACGCCCAGAGCAGATCACCGCTGGCTGATTTCGTGACCTCCCTGGGGCCGAACTCCGTGATCAAACTGAGTTCCAACGTTCTGGAATTACATGCCCTGACAAATATAGAAATCTTAACACGTGTGCTCACATACCGTATCGCTCTTGTTGTATACCCCATATCTTATCGCTCTTGCGCGCATATCCTATCGCTCTTGCGCACATACCGTACGCGACGTAAATGCACTGCAGCCGATTCCTTAGACTTTCAAGGGTCGGCTCAATAGTGTGCCTACGTGATGACAAAACGCCATATTTGCACCCACTGTTTTTTTTGTTGGTTGATTGTTGTGTTTTGTTTATATATATGTATAAAGAATAAGCTACATTACTGGTCTCCAAGCTACCCAAATATAAAATGGGATGGCATATCTCGAACCAATTTTCGAAAACCTTGCCTCCCAAGGTGGAAGAATTTGTGTTGCCGGGCAACGCGAATGGGAATCTTCGGGCCGCTGAGTCGTCTGGTCGTATTTACAATCGATGTGGGACCATGTCTTCAAGCCTCGGAGACAAGGCACCGAAAGTGGATTTCGTTACACGCATCAACATTTGCTTCACAGGATCTGGCAATTTGGCGAGAGCCGACTCCTACGACGCAAAGGGGGCGATGCACACCTAGTGGGAGCGGGCGTGTTCCACCGCTATGCTGAACACCGCCTTCTGTTCCTACGAGGGTCCACGACCCAATTTACGCAAACGCGATATCGATTTTGGTCCCAATGCCCTGGCGATAGTTTTTTCATGATCGTCAGCAACATCGATACCCATTTTGTGCAGATCTGGGCACGGGAAAAACTTGCATTCACACAGGGGGGGGCCTGACCCAAATGTCACACACCATTTCAAACCGTCGGCGCAACGTACGGCGCGTCTCCTTTCACCCGAGTGAACGTCGCCGCCCACCCCGCCACATCCAGAATTAATGGACTTCGGTGTCAAAGCTCTGATCGGCAACGTCGCCAAACATCTCGCCACCTTCGCTCTCTGGACTGGGCCCCCGGACCAGGTGGACTGTGAGACCCAGGCTGCTTGGAGCACGCTCCTTGTCAAGAAGCACTAAAGGGTGCGCGAAGCTCATGCAAGACACGCTAGCTGATATCTGCCAGCACATGTACTTCCTGTCGGGGTACACTGGGAACATGGGCGGACAAACATGTGCGAAACGAGTGGAGCGCACGAGAGCACTTGGGGAGACAATTCTAATGGTTAATGGAAGAAGGGCCATTCTGTCTAGTATGCGAAGATCACGGTCTAGTCAGAGATCATTGTTTTGGCCGCGAGCCAAAGCTGTTATCGGTGCCCAGATGCTTCTCTTTGACTCGCCCAGGTACGCCATGCAAATACCAGTGCCTATCGCAAGACGCGTGCTGCGCAGAGCTGGGCGTGCACACGCTGGTTGGAGCGGAGTCCTTGAACAAGCTCATCTCTGGGCCAAGCATAGGGGTCCCAGCGCAAGCGGGATACCAAGTGGAGCACGATACACGTTCACTTGTAATCGATAGTGCGCATCAGCTCCCAGGCAGTACGATAGCAACACATCGTGTGGCACTAGGCGCTACGAGAGTGGGGCCATCCGAAATTTACGCCCCTGTGGTCCACGACCTCCGTACACGTCTGTCCTTTTGCGCGGGGGATATTGGTGCGAACTTGCAGACCATATTCTTTCCTGGGCAAAGTGGCGCTGGGTAGCCTGCGAAACGCATTTTCTAAGTCAGGCGCGTTCTCGAGTATTCCGCTTGTGAATGCGGTTCGTACAAGTAAGATGGCGAAGACCACAAAATATTTAGTTTCAACAGAAATGTTATTAGGGCATTTGTATATGTAACCAAAGCGTGCATATTTCTACGAGCCTAGGTTTCTATATACGAAGGCTCACCGCAACTATGGAACTAGTTGCTCGCGACCAACTTGTCCAACCAAGAGGTTCAGTCGTGTGGTTGCTTGAGCAATCGCGTAGCTCATCGCTCATAAACCTGCTCGAGTTTCGACATTGTTGTCATCCAAGGAACTGTCCGAAGTGGCCTTCAAGAAGCTGCCCCGCCTGAAACCACTAACGTATCCCCATCGGTGCTGCCGGTGCGAAATTTCACAAACATTGGTTGCTGGAGGCCGTTACGGTATAAACTCTGTTCTCCCGAACGTGACCCGTGCTCATGCTGAATGCGACATCTCCGAACCACTACAGCGCGTAGTTTTCTGGAGCGGGAGGAACGCAATCCCAATCGCCCGTAATAAAAGCAGTTCCAGTCGCCTCTGGGAAAATACTGATAATCCGAATTCTGCTTGACGTATTGTATTTTGGGCGACAATTTCCTCGAGAGGGCTAAGGGTTTCCCGCAGGGGGGAGCACTGTCTGACCCCCCTGCCACCTTGATGACAAGAACATACACCAGACAATTGTCTTTCGGCCCAAGAGTCGTACGACATTGTGGGTTGGATGTTGTCGGAGCTACATTGGATGTTGTCGGAGCTACAACAGGTGAGATGCCGTATTCTGTCGCGTCGACGGCATTTTCGCAATACCTATGCTTTAATGCACTTCTGGTGCACTTCCAAACATCACGAGCATCGCCCCAGCGAGGCCAACTGTAGATCTTGAAAAACATGTGCCATATTTTGATGGTGTTTCTTCCCACTGTCAGATTTGCGTGAACAGGGTGAAATTCACGATGCGCAACGCCACCACCGAGTTCGCACAAGGTTTTCCTGCCCATCAACTTGTGGCGCGTGTCGTCCGTCACTGCGCTTGCAACGGTTGGTATGTGTCGAGCCTTTGCTGTTTCGCTACTTCCGCTTCTGGCGAGGCAACAACAACGGCCCCCGACGCATCTTGCCCCATTAGGAACTCATCGCACCTTTGCGCGCCTGATCCGCAGTCCTTATCCGCACGGCCTCGCGGCGCGCTGTTGTGGGAGGAGGGGGCCATGCCTCGCACAACACGCAGCCGCATCGGGTTGGTCCCTTCGCCAAGATACTGTAATCATCGTGTGTGTGTGTGTGTGTGTGCTTGCGGTGCACCGCCAAGGATCCGCGTGACATGGTGAGGAAATGCCCTGGCCTGCAGAATCTCCCAAAGTCTCCGGACATGGCCTGTGCCCCCACGAGAGGAGGACGCCGCGATCCGTGGAGCGCTTGCGACTTCAACGAACGAACTAGGCCGCGCGCATTTTGTCCGCTTTTTGCCCTGACGAGGGCGCAGACGGTAGCGGCCAAGCAAGAGACAACGGCCTCGGTGACCCAATCGGGTAACGGGGGCATCCGTTGGGGCTGCACTGCGTCGAGTGGGGTGCTCCTCGTCTTGGGGTGGTGTAGTCTCTTGAATATCTCTGCTACACCTCTGATTTAGTCAAAAGCTCCAAACGGTTCTGATTTGTTCTTCGAGGTGAGGAGAAGGGAGGAGGCAGAGGACGAGGAACATCTAGGCGGAGGGGGAGGAGGAGAAGGAGGAGGATGTGGAGGAACAGATAGGAGGACATGGAGGAGGAGGAGGAAACGGAGTAGGAGGAGGGATGAGGACGAGGATGCTGATGATGATGATGGTGATGCAGCAGCTGCTGCTGATGATGATGATGCTCATGCTGATGCCGCTGCTGCTGCTGATGATGATGCGGACGACGAGCATGATGATGATGCTGATGATGATAATGATGATGCGAATGCTGTTGATACTGGTGATGAGGATGATACCCATGACGATGCTGCTGCTGCTGATAAGGATGATGATGAAGCGGATGCTGATGATGCTGATGCAGAAAATCATGGTGATGCTGCTTACGACGGCGATGCTGTTGGTGAAAATGATGACGTTGACGTTGATGATGCTAACGATGATGAGGATGGGAATTCTGATGACGATGAGGATGACGATGGTGACGAAGATGATGATGGCGAGGAGGAGGAGGACGAGGATAAGGATGACGATGATACGGATCATTTCAATACTGATAGTAATGACGCTGATGCTTATGAATACGATAATGATGATGCCGATGATTGTGATGCTGATGCTGATGCGGACGAGGATGGTAATGATGATGATGAGACTGGTACTGATGATGATGATCATGCTGATACGGGTACTGATGGCGATTATGCTTATGATTCATATGCTGATGGCGATGGTGATGCTGATGGTGATGATTATGATGATGCCGAGTATGATGATGACGACGACGATGATGGTGATGCTGGTGATGCTGACTATTATGCGGATGCGGATGGTGACCATGATGATGGCGATTCTGATGTAGATGATGAGGATGATGATGGTAATGCTGCTGCTGATGATGATGATGCTGATGATGCTGATGCTGGCGATGGTGGTGATGATGATTTTGATGATTATGCTGCTGATGATGCTGATGATGATGCTGCTGATGGTGTTGCTGTTGATGATGACGATGCTGACGCTGATACTGATGCTGCTGCTGATGATGATGATGATGATGATGATGATGAGGAGGAGGAGGAGGAGGAGGAGGAGGAGGAAAACAGGAGGAGGAGGAGGAGGTGGTCACCTCTGGGGTTGTCTGCGCAGCTGTGCCGAGCGCATATGCCACGGCGGCGAGCACCAGGCGACGTGCGGCCATATCTCTCAGCTGGGTGCGGCCGAGCGGCGGGCCAGTGGAGAAGCGGGGGCCAGGAGGAGGAGGAGGAGGAAGCAGGAGGAGGAGGAGGAGGAGGAGGAGGAGGAGGAGGAGGAGGAGGAGGAGGAGGAGAGGAGGAGGAGAGGGAGGAGAAGCAGAGGAGGCAGGAGGAGGAGGAGGAGGAGGAGGAGGAGGAGGAGGAGGCAGTAGGCAGGAGAAGGAAAAGGAGGAGGGGGAGACAGGAGGAGGAGGATGCGCAGTAGGCAGGTGGAGGCAGAACGAAGAAAAGGGCGGAGGAGGAGGCAGGCGGGGAGGGGGGAGGGGGGGGGGGACAAGCCAGGTACGCTAGCGTAACATCTGACGTCCTACCTTCCCTTCTATTCATTACCATGGCGTAGATCTCCTATCTATTCGCTCAGTCGGAAACCGACCAGAGCAATGATCCCAAGAGTGTGCGCGATGGATGGAAACGCATGGCGCAGAAGAGCACGGCAGAGCACAGCATAGCACGTCATAGCATGACATTGTGTAGTGAAGCCTTGCATCACAAAGCACAGCAACGCAACGCATGACATTGCACACGATTTGGAAGGACCGCCGCACCGGAACGAGGCCAGCGCTACAACGACAGCGCTACTTGGGAGGACCGAGTACGCCAGTGCTGCTGCGGGAGCACGACTTGGAACAACGGGAGGCGCAAGAACGAGGCCAGCGCTGCAGCGGGAACACGATTTTGAATTACCGAAGCGCGGGCATGAGGGCGGCGCTGCAGCGGAAGCGCATAGGACAACCACAACATGAAATCCGCTGTGTAAGAGAACAAAAAAGCGGAGAGGACGGACGAATCTCTGGGCAGAGTCAGGATAGAGAGGAGACTCGAATTCATATTGTGTGATTCTGGAAACAGGAGGAGACAGGGGGATGAGAAGGCTCCCTCTCCCTCTCCAGTTCCTGCTGCTCTTCCCTCCCCCCTCTCCCTCTCTCTCATTTTCCCCGCAATATGTTCCCGTCACCTCTTCCTCCTCCTCCTCCCTCCAGCCAGGGCGGAGGAAGTGGATGGCGGGAAGGAAAGCAGTAGGAGGATGAGGAGGACCAGTGTAAACCAAAGGCGAATCAACGATGTCGCAAGACACCCTCCTTCCAAGTTCTCCCTTCACAAATCCTTAACATACGTTTTCGTTTTGGGAAAAAAGGCCCATAATAAGACAACCGCCTGACAATCCCCAGTCGTGCCAGAACGCAGTTCTTGCGACTTCAGCGCCGCGGATCAACGTGGATGTTGCGTCCTGACAAGCCGAAATAGTGCCAGAACGCCGTTCTTGGACTTCAACACCGCGAATCAACGTGACTGTTTGGTCCTGGCAATCTTTAATCATGCGAGGACACGATTGTAGGGACTTCGACCGTACGGATCCTAGAACCTGCTGTAGACTTTAAGTAAACGAACGCGCGCGGCAATACAACGTGAACCGCACTTTGACAAAGAACTGACCTCCACCCTTGAACATGTTGAAGACTCTAAAAACGTACGTGGCGGATAATCATACTTCGCCAACGGCCCGTCCTCCATCCTTGAAGCTGCTGCGAACTTTGGAAACCAATATGCGCAGCGCAGAAAGGATCAGCACAGTTTGAACACGCCCGCCTTCCGTCGTAGCGCGGGTGCGAGCTCTTGCGAGTCGTGTGCGCGGCGCCAAAGCGATAACCACGTTTTGAACATGGCCCGCCCTGCATCCGTGAAGCTGCTGCGACCTTTTAAGATGAAAATGCGCGGCGTCGAGGCGAGACCCACATGAAAAAATGACCCGCCCTCCATCCGTGAAGCTGCTGCACATGTCAACTTTCAAGATCATACATGGCGAAGGGGTCTCAAGCGAAACGACCGCCCCTTCTGCCGACGCGTCTTGGGGGTGCGACAGGGCAGCATTCTTTCTCCGCCGACCCCTGCTTGCCAGGGGTCAAAAGGCGTGTGGACAGTTGGCTGTCCCCCTCTCCCTTTTTCCCCCTCCTTCGTTTGGGGGTGCGACAGGGGGGGCATTCTTTATCCGCCGACCCCTGCTTGCCAGGGGTGAGCAGGCGTATGGAACAGTTGGTTGTTCCCCCTCCCTCTTTATCCTCCTTCCCCAGGGTCCATAATCGAATTTGAAGGCGGGCGGGGGGTGGGCCCCCGAACTCATCAACGCACCACTGAAGCCTCTGGAGCATCTGAATCCACTCCCGTGGCCGCCAAGATCCGAAGATGCTGTCTAAAATGGCTTCAGAAGAGACCCGCTACGCCCGAGAGGCCCCATGAGCACCGAAGTATAATCTCCAGACGGCCGAAAACGTCGAAGGGAAGTCCCCAGAGGACCCCCCGAGAGGGCATCAAGAGGCAACGCACATATATAGTGCTCATCCCCCTTCCCCTCCTCGCTCCTGACAGAGGCAAGCCGCGCGATTTTCACCAAGCCGCGCGGCAGCCAGCACATCGGTGATGCTGCGGCGGGCCTCTCAGAACCCGGGCGCAAGGATGCACCCGGGCGAACAGCCGTCGCCCTCCTCCGAGACCAGTCGGGAGCGCCACCTTGGGCGCAGGAAGCGGATGGGTCTGCCTGGAGCAGGGCGCCTAGAGCGAGGCTGGCCGCTGTTTCTCAGGCGCGCGTCCTTCGTCTGTCTCCCCTTCTGCGGGGGCGAGAGCTCCTATGCAGACAGGTTGAAGCGTCTCGGGGTGTCTGTGCTGCTGGGCGGGGTCGGTGGCCCAAACAACTGTAGGGGCGAGGGTCGAGGATGGAGGTCGCACTAACACTCGCAGGTGATGGGCTCGTGCTCGCCCCCCTCTTCTCCTCGCTCCTGAGCGAGGCAACTCGCGCGACTTTTACAAGGCCGCGCGATAGCCAGCACCGTGGTGATGCTGCGGCGGGCCTCTCATAACTCGGGCGCAAAAGTGTGCCCGGGCGAACCGCCCTCGCCCCCCTCCGACACCAATCGGGGGCGCCACCTTGGGCGCAGGAGGCGGATGGGTCTGCCTGGAGCAGGGCGCCCTAGAGCGAGTCTGGCCGCTGCCTCTCAGGCGCGCGCCCATCCATGCTCCCCCAGCGCGCGCGAAGTCCGCGCGTCGCTGAATTGGCGGAACTGATGGGCGTCCGGGGGCCGAGGGCTCGGGCATCATAGACGACGGCGCAGCAACGACTTACCCTTCGCCATCAACCTCCGCTCCTTTGCACCGAGGCCGCGGCGCTCCAGCATGGCCGCGCCGTCCTGGATTTACATGCGAGCCGTGGGCTGGTGCCTTCAGCGGCCGCGAATACATGTCCTGGAAAGACTTCCCAGGACTTTGAAGTGGTGGGTGGCCCCGTCCCCGGCGTAGCGGAGATGGCTTGTACCCGTCAGGGTCAGTGCCGATGTGGGTGGCCAAATTCCCGAAGGCACGGCGAAAGCCGCCAGTCCCGCGGGGGAGAAGCTGGGTACCAGCAGGGCGTCCTTGCAATATCTCATCAAGGATCAGAACTGCCTCGAGCTCGTCTATGACGACGTGCTCGGACCTGCCTGATCTCAGACCTCCTTTTGCGTACCCGAGGTTAAGGTGCGCGACGCCGCGGTCAAAAGTGCACTGCCCGGTTGTCAGCATGGCCTCCGCTGGGCGTAGGGGCCCGTCGAAGCACAGAAACACCCCTGCCGCCATCGCCTTGTCTCCCTCAGAGAGAGCGAAGCCTGCTATCGCCAGGGCCTGATCCGGCAATAGCGGCCGCGCACGCGAGGGGATTTCGGACCTGGACCAGGTGCCGAACAGTCTCCATTAATCATTGAGACCTCTGCGCAAGCTTTGCGCACCATGTTGTAACCCTGAAAGAATGTCTCCCGCCAGAGACTTTGGTTCTCCAGCCGCCCAACAATCTTCAAGCCATTATCGTAGAATCTCGTCGGCGGCTGGGACGGAGACTGGCAGAGGCTCGCCGAGGCGCAGGAGCCACTGGAAAAAAAGGCGCGTGTGGCCTCCAAGTGCCGCTGGACAGTGCGCTGTTGGAGCTGCAACGATCTCAGGGTCCCAGCTCTCGTCGATCCTTTCTTCCCTGCTGCCTTGCCCGGCCGCTGAGCACTATGGCTGCCGCCATGTGCTCAGGGCGTCGGCTGGATTGAGCTCCGACCTTACATGCGCCCCCCAAATGGGTGACTGGACGTGGCAAGCAGGAGCGCGTTCAAGCGCATGAGGATGGAGTGAAGCTTCTTTGGCTGCGACCTGCCCTTGCAGGCAACAGCGATGGACACCTGAGAATCGCAAAAGTGAATGGATCTCGCGCCAACGTTGGCACGGCCTCTCATCCGCCAGCAGACGGCATCGAAGAGGGCTTGCAGCTCCAAGACATTAATGTGCGAGCCACTCTGCCTGAACCTAGGGCAGGTCTTCCACGGCCATCGATCCGCCTCGATGCCCCTCCTCGGCCAGCCCGAGGGATAAAGCAGGCCGCCCGTTGCAATGCGCGCGTCGCTGCCCTTGAAGATGGCGTTCCGCACGCGTGACTCGCAACGGGCGCGGTGCACTTGATCGGGGGTCGCCTCGTCGGCGGGCGCGTCCAGCAGCATTTCTAAATGCAGATTCCCTTCCCCTTCCAGGGGCGCCCCAGCACTTGGCGATAGTGGGCGGATCTCGCAGAATCGCTGCGGCCGCCAAACCTCTTCCGATGCGGAAGGCAATCGCCGGGACCGAGAACGAATTACCTAGCAGCGAGCACTTCACGTCCTCGTCGTTCGAGCCCGACTCGGACTTACGAATGGCACAGCTGCAGTGGCCCCAAGGGGGCCCTGGGCGGACAGCGCGCTCCCTGCTCGTGGGGGGGCGGAGGGCGCGCTCGACGTCTGGCCGCGCTCTCTTGGAAGGAGATGCTGACGCCTCGACCAAGTTGTCTCTGTGGTACTGGTACGGTGGATAACGGTGCCCATCTGCCTCCCAGCGCTCGCGGGGCGCCTGGTCGGTCACTCCCAGTCCCGCCGGGGAAGGCGGCGGCCTCTCGCGGGGGATCGAGCGCGCAAGGGTCGCCCGCGCGCCCTTCTCACCTGCGGGCGGCGCGCGCCCTGCTCGAGCCTGTCGGCCCAACTTGGCCAGCAGCCAGTGAGCGCAGCCTCGATAACCTCGCCGCGGTCCTGGTACTGGAGCTCCGAGGTCTCGGGCCCGGGCGGCCAATTGGCCCAGTAGAGTCTCGGCCTCTTGACCGGACACGGAGCTCGACTGGCGCAGCGCCCAACACCTGGCTGCACCTCCCCCTGTCGGCGGGCTTCATGGAGCTGACGTTCTCACCGTGGGTGGGGGCCTGGACGTGGGGGGCGGCCTCTCGCGCGAGGGCGGCGACTCGCGGGATCTCCTGCTCAGGCCGAGCGCGGTCTTCGGCCCACCCCTGTCCACTCCCTGACAGGGCGACCCTCCGAGCACGAAGAGGACGCGCAAGTTGGGGGCCCTCGCCGCGACCGACCTGATGGCAGCCAGGTTGATCTTGGTGACGTCTCCGAGCTCTATCGCCGCGGGCCGCCGCTGCTGGCGCGCGCGACGCGCCTCGGGCAGCAGCTCGGCAGTCGCGTGCGCGGCCGCCTCGACCCCGACCCGATCGAAGACCATCCAACCACTTCCGACGCCGCTGAAGAGCTCAATGAGCCCTACCTCGTCTCTCCCCATGGCTCGACCTTGGCAGAGGTCCGCGAGCGAGGGCGCGACGGCTTCGGGGCGCAGCTGTCTGCTCCAGCATGCGCCTCCACCAGTCTCCGACGCATCGCTGCAGGTGACCATGGGCGAGGCGGGGCATCGCAGGTCGAAGTGGTGCAGCGGGGGGGGGCAGAGCGCCAGGGATAACTCCGCGCACTGTTCTGGCGACAGGAACTGCCGCGCTGGACCTTCCCAGCTCGCGATGAGCTTCCAGACTCGCGTGAACACGCAAGAGCACTCCCGACGGACGCAGTCGAGGTGGCACCAGTGTCCCGCTATGACCTGCACGTCCTTCCTGCTGACCATTGGAACGCAGGAGGTGCGCAGTCAGCTGGGCCACCAGCCCTGCCCTAGCTGGTGGGGCCACTACCCGCCCGTCCGGGCCGTCGACGCGGGCGCCAAGCCGATGGCGGCGGCTGGCCCTCGCACCGTTCTGCTCGCTGGGGGGGGGGGGGGGCGTCGAGGGCGCGGTGCTTCTCACGAGCCACCTGCGCAAAGTGCCCTTGCACGTTAGCCTCCTCGACGTCTTGCTTGGCCCCCCCCCAGCGGCCGCAGCGGCGCGCGCGCCTCGCGCCACCTTCTCTGCGTAGTCGGCATCGTCGCAATAGACTTGCTAGACGTCGTGCAGGTCGCTGCTAGCTCGCAGGGCGGGCACCCCCTTGTCCTTGCGAATCTCCCTCGCCTTGGGCAGGCCGATGGGGGGCTGCAGGCCTTGCGCCGGCATGCGCCGATGCAGGTGCTGGACCAGGCCCATGGCGTTCCTGTGCCCCATCGGCATAGTGACCGCCCCGAGGTAGACGCCGCTTGGCCAGTCGCCGCTCAGGCCAAGCTCGCGGGGCGTGAACCTCGCGTCGAGGGCGAAGAGCAGAACCCAGCACGGCGGCGGCCTGAAGAGGTAGATGGCGCCCTTGAGGTCGTCGAAAGACCGCGCGAGCTCCTCAGAATTGACGATCAGCGAGCGTCATTGTGCGAAGTAGGGCAGCGACGCAATGTCGCCCTCGTAATCGGTGGACAGGGAGTTCGTCGCCGTGAGGTTCATGATGAGCCGCCAAACCTCTCTTCCCTCGGGGTCTCCAGGCGCGCGCTGCCCCTTGGGCGCGCCGAAGAGCCCATTGAGGAAAGGCTTCCCCTGCGCTCTGAGAAGGTCCTGCTCCCAAAGCGGCACGATAAGCCCGCGTTCGAGAAGGCCTCTCCCGAGATACCGTCAAAACGGCTCAGAAACGGCCAAAGAGGGCCCCAAGACAGCCCAAGGGGCCCACAAGAGGGGAGCACCAAACTGGAATGTGCCCCCGAGAGAGGCCCGCGAGAGACAGCTTGTGGAGGGGCGCTTTCCCCCAGAAAATCGCCCCCTCCCCGCTGGCTCCAAAAGGCCCCCCCGAAGCACTCGAAGGGCTCCCAAAACCTTCCGGGGGCCCCGACAAAGCCTCAAGAGGCCACCATCTGGGCCGCCAGCGGGCTCCAACGATACCCCGATGAGCTCCAGGAGGCATCAAAACTGCTTGAATGAAAGCCCCCGAAGGCCCCGGATAATCTCCAAAGACAGCCCCCCCAACTGCACGGGAGTGGCCTCAAACAGAGCCCAGACAACATGACAAACCGTCCCGTTGTCCTCGAACTCCTCCTCCTTGTCCTCCTTTCTACCTCCGTCGTCGCTCTATGTCATAATTGTCATCCATATCCCTTTCCGGCCATCGCGACGTTACTCCGGGAACCCCTCGCTTCACGCGCTACGCGCAACATATTTCACTGCCCACTCCCGAGAAGCGCGGGATAAGTGAGCCCCATGCGCCGAATAGCGACTGCGCGGCGGTCATTCCTCCTAAACGCGCGGACGCTTGAAGGCATTCCATGCGCGCGACGGCGTCTAAGAAACAGCCAACAAGCGCCCAGGAAACTCTGACGAGACTTCAAGACGCCCAACAAGACGCCCACAAGGCCTCGAATCGTCTGAGGGTCGGCGGAATGGCGTAAGCCTCTTAGACAAGGAAAATGGATGGATGAGGGCGAGGGGGAGAGGGGGATGGCAGTCCTGAGGACAGGAACGTCGCAACAGGATGATTCGAAAACAGCGGGTGCCGCCTCCGGGCCTGCGCTCGATCGAATCGCTAAGTCGGATCCGACCGGAAACGGGTCGCATCGCCAGCGAATCGTCCCGAATCGAATCGAGATCGGATCGCTGCGCCTGGCTCTGGCTGGCCCTGGGTTGGTGAATCGAGCCGAGTGAAATCGAATCGAATCGCAATCGCGGCCCTGGCTGGCGAAGCGAGTCGCTTCGAATCGGATCGTAGGTGGCCCTGGCCTCCCCCTCCTCTTCCTCCTCCTCCTCCTCCTCCTCCTCCTCCTCCTCCTCCTCCATCTCCTCCTCCTCCCCGCGTTGCTCCCGACGAAGCCCTGGCGTTGACCCAGCCGCGGGCTGGTCCCCCGATCGGCCGCACCCGCCTCTGGCCCCGCGCTCGCGTCTCTGGTCGGGGGGGGGGGGCGGCGAGAGACCTCGAGGGGGGCCGCCCTGGCGGGACTGGAGCCGAAGAGGGTCGGAGGCTCGCGCTGCACCTTTCGTTCCGTCGGAGATGCATCTGCGACGTCGGGGCGGATGGCGTCGGGCGGACCGCGCCGCATCGCCGATACATCGGCGGTGCGGCACGACCCTGCGACACCACCCCTCGGGTGCTGCTGGAGGAGCCCCTGGCCCAAGGTGTCTCCAGGCTTCCAGGGAGGCCTCCACGGCCTCGAGGGCACCCCTCACGAGACCCAGAGGGCTCCAGAGGGGCCCTCTATCTGAGCGAAAAGCTGGGAGCACCTTGGGCCAGGGGACCTCTGGCAATCCCCGAACCTGCTCCTGCCCCGTGAGGACGGCCCGGATCGGACGCGGGGCGCTTGGAAAAACCCTGGGGCGCGCGCTTGAGCCGCCGAGCGAGGCCGCGAGGAGCGGGCTGTGCTCAGACCTCTGGGCGCCGCGGACCACTTCACGGACGGTCAGTTGTTGGCGATTTGCTTGCGCGCCCGCAAGGGGGGTTGGAAGTCTGGACACAATGCCCAGCAGCAGTGCCTGTTCATCTGGAACACATTATGCTGTCCTTCGAGCCCCCTCTGACAACAAGTCTTGTCGTTTTGACAGGAACTCTTCTTGTCCGAATCGACCGACGACAGTGGCTGTCAGCAGGGCCAGAGCTGCTGCCCGCTGGGCTCCGAAAGACCACGCGTCCTGTCCCACGGGAACAGGCGCTGCTGCTGGGCGTTGCGGCCGTGCTTCCTGGCCCCATCCCGGGCGCGCATCGTTTGGGCCTCTGGGTGCCGCTTTTGGAGAAACCAACAGGTGCGGATACCGCTGCTCCCCAGACTTCTCCTGGGGTGCGTTATGACCAGAATTTCGAAACGAATCCAGCGGTGGCGACGAGGGCCTTCCAGGAGGCCCCCAAAGGGGGCAAACGAGGGGCAGTGACAGGTATGGGGATCCTTTCCTCCTTTGAGCTTTGCAGGCCCCCGGAAAAATCGAGGCGCGGCCCGCGACGAACCACGGGTCCCCGGCGCGGGGGCGCGAGAGATCCAGAGAGGGGGGGGAGGAGGAGGAGGAGGAGGAGGAGGAGGAGGAGGAGGAGGAGGAGGAGGAGGAGGAGAGGAGGAGGAGGAGGAGGAGGAGGAGGGGGAGGAGGAGGAGGAGGAGGAGGAGGAGAGGAGGAGGAGGAGGAGGAGAGAGGAGGAGGAGGGAGGAGAGAGGAGGAGGAGAAAAATAGGGGGATTTACCCAAGGAGAATCGGATATTCCCCGGTAACTCTTTGAGAAGCTTTGAAAGTTTCGATCGTCTTTGAGGAGGAGGAAGAGAGGGGAAAACGAATGCAATGGAGCGGCGGACTTTTTTCGAGGAGGGGGCGGGGGAGGGGCTCGAGGGGAGGAGGGGGGGGCGTCGGAGTGGAAGGAGGAGAAAGAGAGGAGGAGGACGTGGACGAGAACGAGGACGACAAGGACCAGGACGACGACGACGAGGAGGAGGGGCGAACGGGAGGTCATCATATGTTGGCTTCGCCAGCCCCGCCGCCCGTGGTTGGTTGGTTGATTGGCGACCCTCGGCGGGGGCCCCGCAGACGGGGCCCCATCGGAAACATTGCGTCTGCCTCCAGAACCCTTGCAGGAGATGCGTGGCTGGCTGGTTGGCGGCCCTCGGCTGGTTGGCTGGTTGCTTCGTCCGTTGGCCTACCGGCGTCTACCACTCCTGCTACTACTACTACTACTACTACTACTACTACTACTACTACTACTACTACTACTACTACTACTACTACTACTACTACTACTACTACTACTACTACTACTACTACTACTACTACTACTACTACTACTACTACTACTACTACTACTACTACTACTACTACTACTACTACTACTACTACTACTACTACTACTACTACTACTACTACTGCTACTGCTACTGCTACTACTACTACTACTACTGCTACTACTACTACTACTACTACTACTACTACTACTACTACTACTACTACTACTACTACTACTACTACTACTACTACTACTGCTACTGCTACTGCTACTGCTACTGCTACTGCTACTACCCCTTCTGTTACTACTACTACTCCTGCTGCTACTACTACTACTACTACTCCTCCTTCTACGACTACTCCTTTTGTTACTACTACTACTCCTGCTGCAACTACTACTTTTACTTCTACGACTACTACCATGGTTACGACTACGATTACGACAGCGTGGCCTCGCCGCCCGGCACGTCGGCCACACACGGGAGGGCAGCTGGGCGGCCCTTGGGGGGTGCGGGCACGTGGCCTCGGGCGGCGCCTTCCCTGCGGCCTCGGGCGCATTGAAGGGGCCCCAGGACACACAAGTAAATACACACAAATAAAACTATCCCCCGTATTTTCCCATATGTTCTAGGTTTCTGTCTTCCCCCCCACTTCCCGTATTTTCCCAGACTTTCTGAGGAATCGAGGATTCATTGTGTCTGTGTGTTCTTCCCTCTCCTGACGCATGTCGGGCGGCCACCGGTGGACGATCGCCCCGCATGGCCCAGGGGGACTGGGGCCTCTCTGGGCTCTGGCCAGGGGTCCTCCGGGGGGTCGAGACGTCCAGGGGTCGACGTCATGAATGAAGGGGCCCCAGGACACACAAATATAAATACACACAAATAAAAAGATTCCCCATATTTTCACATATTTTCTGGGTTTCTGTCTTCCCCCCCACTTCCCATATTTTCCCATCTTTTCTGGGGAATCGAAGATTAATTGTGTCTGTGTGTTTTTTCCTCTCCTGAATGAAAACAGCCTGACGTCGGGGTCGGCGCCGTCATTGCCCTTCCCGTCGTCATTATCATCCTCGTCGCCAGCATCGCTGCTATCATCATCGACTCTGCCGTTGCTGACGTCGCCATGGTGCCGTCCCCGCCCGTGTCACCTGCTCGAACAAGTGTCACCGCCGCCGTCCAAGGTTCCCGGCTCTGAGCAGGGTCGGCCACACGCAAGAGTGACGCAGGGCAAGGGTGACATTTGGTACGCTACTTCGGGGGCCGCCGGGAGGCCGAATCGGAGCGCGCAAACCGCTGCTATCGCATCGCATGCAGCCATCTGGGGACTCCGGTGTGCCCGCGCCAACGGTCTCTCCGGCGAAAGGTCACTCTTACGTATAGCCGTCAAGGGTCCTCACACTCCCGCCCTCAAGGCGCCGGCGTGGCGCCAGGCAGGCGTCTCGAGCGGCTGCCCCGGCCAAGGGGGTCCAGGCAGGGCCTGGTTCTCTTTGTCGCCTCTTTCCCTGCTCACGGCACGGGCTTCGTCGATGCTGGGGCTTTCCCATGCGGGGTGCCTCTGTCGGGGATTTCCTGACCAGGGTCAATCCACACCCGGGTCAGTCAGGCTGGGCAGGATCCTGCACGCTAGCCTGGGTCCATACACCCCTGGCTCTGCAGGATCCCGCAAGATCCGGCGCTCTAGCTGACCCCCGTTTGCATTGACCCCCGTGCATTTTTCGACGTCGCGCTTGCGCGAGATGATCCACGATGTTCCTCGATGGTCCTCGGCCCCCCCAAAAGTGCACACGTCCGAGCGATGCCAAGTGGTGCGGCCCACACTCGGCTGGGGCCACTCCCGGCTTGTGCCGGGATCACGCGCCGCCTTATGCACACGCCAGCGCGCTGAGGGCCTCTGTTGCCCAGCACTTGGCCAAAGCGCCGCCCCTGCCAACCCTCAGATCCTACGTTGCGAAATCGCGAACCATCACCACCGGAGCCCCGGACCCCATCTTTCTGCGCCATTTTTCGAGACGGATCAATCTGTGAGGGTCCCGCCCGAAATATATGGCAAAATCTCCCGCAGTGGAATTTCAACGCCAGGCTCTGAGGGAACACCCACGCTGCCTGGGCCACGCATCCGCCGTGAACCCTGGGCGCATCTTTGCCGCGTCCCCATCGGGTGTTGCTAGAAGTGCCCCTGGCCCAAAATGTGCCCCCAGGATTTCCAGGGAGGCACCCACGGCCTTGAGACCACCCCTCTCGAGGCCCAGAGGGCTCCGTGGGGCTTCAAAACCGAGAGCGACAAGCTGGGGTAACCTTGGGCCACGGGCACCTCCGGCAACCCATGACCCACCCGGCTACCCTACACGTGCCAATCGGTCGGAAGAAGTAGGCAGAAACATGAAGTAGGAAGGCGTTGAAAATAGATTGGGTGTCCGCCCGCCCCCTTAAGAGGACGGAAAAGGTGAAGCCGCTCGATCATCGAAGCCGCTGGCAATAGATTGGAATCTGGGACTCCCCAAATACCTACTTTCAATGACCGATGAGTGGGTCTCTCCCTCTCGGCCTCTGCCTCTCGGCTCCGAGTGCACCTGCCCGGCTCATCTTTGCTTGCACTGCAGCTGTCGCCTGCCAGCCCACTCCGACACCTGCACGTGCGCGCTCCACTGCGGACTGCGCATCCTCCACCCGGGGGCTCCAAGCAGTCCCTCTGCACTTCGGCTTTCTGTTGGTATCATAGAACCAATTGCTTTTGATCACTTCAAAAACTCTGAATCGGGATCGCCTGCTTGGCAGGCGGCACGAGACGCTAGCAGTTCCGCTGCACTTCGTTTCTGGACCTCCAGCAGCTTGCCTGGCAGCCGCAACGCTGGCAGCGATTCGCTGGTGTGCGGCCCACTTGTGCTATCGCGACGGTGGCGCCACCTCGCCGGCGGAGGAACAATGTGTGTGTGTGTGTGCTTGAGCTTGGTGCTGAATGAGTGCGCGCGCGCGCTGGGGTCATAGCCACCCGCGCACGTGCTTGCACGCAGCAAGTGCATTCGACATGGCGCGCGGCGGCTGTGGACGACGCTGTGCGCGCCACGCCACGTCGGCAACTCGATGTCTGTGAGTGCTGAGGCCTGGTACTGCACGTGCGCGCGCGCGCCGGGGTGCTACAGCGGGCTGCAAACGTACTGCAACTGCTCGTCGTCGATCGAGGACCGAGGATGACAATTTTCGGGTGTTTCTGGTGGTATTTGGGCGCTCTGGTGCGCTCTGAGGAGTTCTGGGGGCAGGGAGAGGTGCAGTACCGGGGTTGGCCGCAGCTCGGGTTCCTGAGTGCAGCACGTGTCAGCGCACGCAAACTAGAATGCCACACGTGCCATGACTCATGCCGTGCGCACGTGCTAGTGGGCAACGCGCGCATGGCCTAGCCCAAGGAGCCACCTGCGCACGTGAAGCGACAGCGACCGATGCGGCGGCGGAGGCGGCGGCCGTCTGGAAGGGGGAGCAGCAGCAGGGGGGAGGGTGTGGAATGGACCGGGGAAGGGCGAGATGGAGGGGCGGAGAAGAACAGGCAGAGGATGACTTCTTCTCAGGGATTCCTCGGCCCTCTCAAACAGGAAGGTCAAAGGTTCTCGTGTCATGGCCCTCCAATGCGAGATACAGGCACCAGTGGCTCTGCACTGCACGCATAATTCGCTGAAGGAGGTGGCGCTGCGAGACAAAATGATAATGGCGAGGAGGAGAGCGCTACGCGTGGGAGGCGGGGCTGTAGGAGAAGGGCCCATGATCGGATCCGGGCGACGGACGGGAAATAAAAAAGGTCTTACACACGTGGACATGGCGGCGACCACGCGGTGGCTTCAGCGGGCCGCCATCCGGACAACTCGCTTGGAAGACAATGGCGCTTAGAGTGCGTGCGACCTTCCGGGGCAGCTTCCGTAGACGAAGAAAAATCGCCATAAACAAACTCTTGGCGCCCCGCGCGGATTTCTTGGATCTGCGCCAGACCCCCCTCCCTGGTGCGCGGGGCGCGCCAGGGGCGGCGCCGGAGGCGCCGCCGAGGGGTGCCTATAGGCGCGGATCCAAGACACCCGCGCGGAGCGCCACCAACTTATGTTTTTGGCGCTTTCCCTTCTTCGATTCTCATGCGTGCCACCTTCCGCGGGCAGCTTCCGCTACGGTTGCCCGCTCAATCGAGTCGACCCCCTCCGGCTGCGTCGCCCGCCCGTCCTGGGCCCGGGGGTGGCCTTCGCCAGGGCGGGGCTGACAGCTGCCTGGCTGGCGCTGCAGCAGGCACACACGGTAAGGCACCTTGCCACAAGAGATCTCGGCCACACGCAAGGGGTGACCCCAGGCTGAGGTCGGGCATATCCTCCCACAGGCGGATATAGGACTACAGAAGTAGCCAAAACAGGTTCAAACATGGCAAGAAATAGAAGAACACTCGCCCCAAGTTTTTTTTTTGTGTGTGTGTGTGCGACCATTTATGAATATTCCTCGTGTAGTGGGACATGCTCGACTTGAGCCTAGGCAAGGGTGGGACAAGGAAAGGGCCCTTTGGGGACACCGTCAGGCGCGCTAGCCGCTGCCATCGCATCGCATTCAGCGATCGGGGGGTCCCATGGGGCTCGCACCACAGCCCACTCCGGCGAAAAGTCACTCTCTTGGGTCCATTCGACAATCTTGGACCGCTTTCTTCTTCGATGTTTGATCGGCGGCGAGGGGGGGGGGAAGTGACGAGGAGCGGGCCTTCTCAGAAGGCTCGGAAATCCCCCGGCCTTCTGCGAAGTTTTCAAAGCCTTCCTCGGAGACAGAAGAAACTTCTCAGAAGGCGCGGGAGCCTCTGAGAAGTCCCGCCGCCGTCTGAGAAGGCCTTCTCCTTCTCACTTCCCCCCCTCGCCCGCAGCCGATTTGAAGCCCCTCAGGTGCCTCAGAGTTTCTGTGGGCCCCTGAGGCCATCGGGAGTGTATATATATGTCGGTTTACACATACACACATATATGTATGTATGTGTATGTATATATGCATATGTTTAAATATATTCACATTCATCTATACATACATACAACTCTCTTTGTATATATATATATATATATATACACGGTCAGGAGCTTTTGGATGGCGTGTTGCGGCGGCGGCCCCAGCGACGCGCTGTGCCATGCAAGCGGACGGCGTGCCGTTCCGCTCCGCAGGGCGGGAGGCTCGGGAAGGCTGGGGCATTGAGACGCTCAGGGACCGGTACATGGATATCGTGTCGCGCGGAAACGCTGACGAACCAACAACACACACACACCCATACCCATAGGGGGGTCGGAGGGGGCTATGGGTGCGTGTTGTCAGATGGGGGTCCCCGCTCGAACGGGAGCGTTCCCCAGGGTCCGACAACCTGCACCCATACCCATAGCCAGTCCTCCTCCCAACGGCCCCCCTATGGGTATGGGCGTGTGCTGTGCGTTCGTCAAACGTGGTGGGGCAGAACTGGAGGAACGACACGCTATCTAAAACATGCCGACCGCATCCGTGGGGCACCTGCTGGCAGGCCGACTTCTGCTTCGACGTGCCTGCTTAGAGGCCTCCGAGACGGGGTCCGAGCAGATGGGGTCGAGGGATCGCGCCGCATCGGCGACGTCGGCAATGCATCGCCGGCGTCGGCGTGGGGAAATACGGGCTCCACATCGAACCGCATCGTCGATGCATCGGTGAAGCGGCGCGACTGACCCCATCTATTCGGACCCCATCTCGGAGGCCTAGACAACTGTCGGGGAGACGTAAGACTCGGGCACGGGGGATTCGGGTTAGCCTGACGGGGCCATCATGAACATGACGAGACACAACCTGAAATCCAACGCGAGCTCCCGCTGCAAGCGTACCATGAAAACACCGGACCGTCGATATCCAGGACGCGCTCGTCAAAAAACGGCGGTAAACCCGAGTTCTGGCTTACTCGAGCCCAAACATGCGACGTCCTGATTTTTTCAAGACGGCGTCCCAGAAGTCCAGACCTTGTCCCCGGGGCCGATTTTTCATCTCGAGTCGTTTATTTGACGGTCCCGAGGCCTGGCGAGGGCCCCCCGTGGCCGAGATGGGCCAAAAACCACCGCCCGGACTTTTCTTTCGACGCGATCCTGTCTGGGAGTCTGACGTTTCCCCGATGCTGTAACTCTGGGCTGGGGGAAAGATCGGGAGCGGCAAAGAGGGGGGTGTCCAAGAGGGGGGGGTGCAAATCATGACCGGCGGCATGTGCGCGGCCCAGCGGGGGGGCCAGGGACGCAATGAAATAAGAAGAGGCGCCATGAAATCTGAGGAAATATCATGGCCCCCGCCATGATATCCACCCCCCCCTAGTCATCACCCCCCTCTTTTCCGCCCCCGAAAAGACCCAGGCGCGCACAGGGCGCCAGGGGGTTGGGCGGCGACCGGGCCAAAAGGCGCGCGCCGAAGCCCAGCATCGGAGCAGGGCGAGCTGAGGCCGCGGCGGCTCAAAATCGGCCCCCAGACCCTACCCTTGGGTCGGGCATGTCCTCCTGCGGGCGGGACCTTGGAAGAACATATTCATCATACTCAAGACATGCCCTCAGAGACCAAGCCGGTCAACACATCGTCCCCGGATTCTTTTCGGACCGTTTCGGGATATTGCTCCTCCTGTAGAGGGACAGGCCCGACTTAGAACCCTATCCAGAGTCCGGTCGCACCCGTTTTTCGAGCTGCGTCCAGCCGTGGCGACGAGAGGGGAGGAGGAGGAGGAGGAGGAGGAGGAGGAGGAGGAGGAGGGAGGAGGAGGAGGAGGAGGGAGGAGGAGGAGGAGGAGGAGGAGGAGGAAGAGGAGGAGGAGGAGGTGGAGGAGGAGGAGGAGGAGGACGAGGAGGAGGAGGAGCAGGAGGAGCAGGAGGAGCAGGAGGAGGAGGAGCAGTGTGTAAATCCAAGAATCATCAACGATGTTGGAATGAACCCTTCCTCCAAGCTCCCTCTTCCTAGGCCCCTACAACGGTTCACTTCCATTGAGGGAACTGCCTCGTTGGAAGACAACCGTTTGAAGATCCTGAAGCATGCCAAAACATGTTTCTCGGGATTCCAACGCTACGGATCAACCTGACTGTTGCGTCTTGACGATCCTGAATCGTGTCAGAAAGCCATTCCTGGGACTGCAACACAATGAATCAACGTAGCTGTTGCACCGCATAATCCTGAATGCTCTCGAAACACAAATTCTGGTACGTTGATGATGGAAATCCGTGACACTCTTTCAGCGTGTGTAAACGAATGTGCGCAACGCTAAGGCGAGAACCACATTTTGAAAACAGGTTGCCCTCAATCCGTGAAATTCTTGCACATTTTAACAGCGAGTGTGCGCGGTGCTCAAGCGAGAACCACATTATGAAAACGGGTCGCCCTCAACCCTTGAAACTCTTGCAATTTTTGTTGAACGAATGTGCGCCGCTTTGAAAACGGGTCGCCCTCAATCCGCGAAACTCTTGTAAATGTTAAAACGACTGTGCGCCGCGCTAAAGCGAGAACCACATTTTGAAAACGGGTCGCCCTCAATCCGTGAAGCTCTTGCAATTTGTTTGAACGAATGTACGCCGCGCTAAGGCGAGAGCCACATTCTGCCGAATGGCCCGCCCTCCATCTGTGACGCTGCTGCCAATTTTGGAGCGTCAGACTCACAAGCGGTGAGGAAGTCTCTGGCGAAACGCCCAGCCCGCCCTAAGAACGCGTCGGGGTGCGACAGGGAGACTTTATTCATGAGGAAAAGGAATGGAGGGGGAGGAGGAGGAGGAGGAGGAGGAGGCGGAGGAGGAAGAGGAGGAGGAGGAGGAGGAGGAGGAGGAGGAGGAGGAGGAGGAGGAGGAGGAGGAGGAGGAGGAGGAGGAGGAGGAGTGGCCCCCCCCCGAAAGCCACCCAACGTCGCCTCCAGCTCGCCATCCTCCGAGGAGGAGCCGGCCGCGCGGGTGGAGAGCGGCGTCGAGTCGCTCGCGCCCCTGCGACGGGCCCGCGCGCGCGGGGGCCCTCAGCGGGCAAGCGCGCCCGCTGTGGGGCGCCGCCGCACCGTCCGCCGGCCTTGCACCAGGTCGGGCATGTCCCCCTACCGGCGGATTTTGGACGAAACATAAGGAATAGTCAAAAAGTGCTCAAGCATAGTCAAACACTGTCCCAAAATCGTACCCAAACAATGTTCCGAACTCTTTGGGAGTGTTCCTCCTGTAGAGGGACAGGCCCGACTTGAGTTCTGCACCTGCTGGTCGGTACAGTGGAGGCCCGACCGCAAGAAACCTTCCACAAGAAGCCCAACTCTGAGACCCCAGGACGTCCATATTGACTTTTGATGTGGGAGCGTCACGCCTTCCACAGCAAGACCCTCGAAACCCAAGGAACCCAGGGCACTCTGGAGGCAAGCAGGGTGCTTCTTGGCATGGGCCTCCGCTGTAGGCGCCAGGGGCTCGCCTGGCCTGGTGGTCCCGCGCACAGGGCACCGCCGCACGCGGCCGCACGCGGCGGCCAGCACTTCGGCTCGGCACGCAGGCAGTGCTGGCGGCGAGCGGCGCATGGCGTGGCCCTCAGATCCCAGCGTCGTGAGGCTGGACTCGCGACGGGCGTTTCCACCCTGGGAGGGGCTCAAAGTATAGACCACGTCGTCTGGTCGGCCAGGGGACTCGGTGTCTCGGCGCCCCAGTTTCCCAGCCTGCGGGACGCAGGCGCGTCTGTACACCGAGCTTCTTCGTTGAATTCCATGGCTCCTTGGCCGACAGAGCGACGTGGTGTATACATCGAGCCCCCCTGATGCCCCGATCTCGGGCCCCTGCGGGCTCTGGCGGGTGGATCTGGTTCGAGAAAAGCTGCAGGAAGATTACGTCGGGAGTTCTGGTCGTGATTTCTTCATGGCGTTGCGTTCGTCTCACGACGTCTGGTGTCTGGGGAGGAGAAGCTTCGGAGACTGCCACAAGAGATCTCAGCACAAGGCGCCCCCCGCCACCCGTCCGCGCCACTTGGGACCCCGTGGGGCCCTCCGGGCTTCGCGAGGGGTGCTCTGCAGGCCGCTTGGACCTCCGCGGGAAAGCTGGGGCCACCCCTCTCCCAGGACGCCACCCAAATCTGCAGCCCGCCATGGCTCGGGGATCTGCTGACCCGGGTCAATCCAAACTAGGGTCAGTCAGGCCTTGTATGATCCTACAGGATCCTGCACCCAAGCCCGGGTCAATGCGACCCTGGCCCTGCAGCATCCTGCAGGGTCCTGCAAGATCCTGCACCCAAGCCTGGGTCGATGCGACCCTGGCTCTGCAGGATCTTGCAAAATCTGGCGCCCCGACTGACCCCCGTCTCTTGAGCCCCGCCATGTCGGGGGCGGCCAAGAGGGGGGCGTCCAAGAGGGGGGGCGCAAATCATGGCCGGCGGCATGTGCGCGGCCCAAGGGGGGGGGGGGGGGGCAGGAACGTAATGAAACAAGAAGAGGCGCCGTGAAATCTGGGGAGATAGCATGGCCCCCGCCATGATATCCACCCGCCCCTAATCATCACCCCCCTCTTGGCCGCCCCCGACCATGGCCAGGCCCGTCCTGGAACCGGGACCGGTGCGTACGCCCTTGGCTCGGGCCTGGCCAGGCAGGAGTGCACGCACAGCGCTCCTCCTCCTCCTCCTCCTCCTCCTCCTCTTCCTTCTTTCTCCTCCTCTCCTCCTCCTCCTCCTCCTCTCCTCTCCCTCCTCCCTCCTCCTCCTCCTCCTTCCTCCTCCTCCTCCTTCTCCACTCATCCTCCTTCCCCTCCTCCTCCTCTCCTCCTCCTCCTCCTCCTCCTCCTCCTCCTCCTCCTCCTACCCCTC